ATTTACCATTAATTCACCCTTTTCCGCTTCACGATCATCCCTATGGTGTACGGAATAAGTATGCCACTGCCACTGCCTGGAACGATCTTCCCACAATGTCCATATCGTCAGCGAACCAGATAAACTGGCGGGATTTATTTAATATCGTACCCCGCATGCTGATGTCCGTGCACAGGTTTCATAGCACCTTCTAGTGCAATGTTGAAAGGGAGGCAGGAAAGACCATCGTCTTGTCGCCTTGCATGTTTCAAACAAGTCCGATAACGCACTCAAGATCTTCGTTCACACAGCACTGTACACCATCCACCGAAGCCTAGTCAGTTTCCCGGGAAAATCATTCGCGTCCATAATATTCCATAGCTCTTCACAATCAATTAGCCTTTCAATCGATGGAGGATCTGCCGCAACGTAGGGATTTGGTCTGTTGTCGATCACCTGTTCACAAAACTGACTTGATAACTTTCCACAACTTACTAGACGAAAGATGCGTCAGTTTGATCGTTTGTTTTAAAACCTACATCAGGTTGACGGTTCGCATGCGTTATCACATTTGTCAATCGCGTGAACTGAAATCAAATTATGATTTCAATTTGCTGTTGACATCAAAATTGGATTTCGATTTGCTATCATTTTGTTGCAGAACTTCGCCAGGGTGCTTATTATAGTCGCTATATTTATAGTCTGGCGGATAGAATCTCGGGAACCAATTGAGCTGTCAAATAGCGGAACCATACTTATTTTACCCATCAGGCTAAGGCCTTGTTGTCCTCTGCTGTCCGAAGAAGTCGTCTCCACTCTACTCGATCCATGGCCACACTTCGCCAGTCTTCGGAGTCCACATTAGGCACGATTCCCTGCCATAATGTGTCTTTGAATTTCTCTGCTGGTATAATTTTCGGCGGTCATCAGTGAGTCTAAATACACAAACTCATCGACCACCTCGAGTTCGTCACCGTCAATCTGAACTCGGGGTGGGAGGCAAACTTTGTCTTCCCTAGAACCTCTTCCTTTCATGTATTATGTCTTCGATGCGTTGATGGTAAGTCCAATCCGCCTAGCTTCAGCCTTCAGTCTGCTGTACGTTTCCGCCATCGCCTCAAAGTTCCATGCCATTATGTCGATGTCTTCGGCAAAGCAAAGAAGCTGGATGGACTTCCTGAAGATCGTGCCACTCGTGTCTATCCCAGCTCTTCTGATCACACCTTCTAACAGGATGTTGAATAGCAGGCACGAAAGTCCATCACCTTGCCGTAACCACCTTCGAGATTTAAAGGGACTCGAGAGTGTCCCCGATACTCGAACAACGCACATCACTCGATCCATCGTCGTCAGTTAATGAGGAAATCTTACTCGTGCATAATCTGCCATAGCTGATCTCGGTCGATTGTGTCGTATGCGGATTGGAAATCGATGAACAAATGATGTATGGGCACGTCGCGGCATTTTTGCAGAACCTGTTTTTGGCGCGGGCACCAATGAACCCCACCTGGTATTATCCCACGAACTCTCTTGCAAATGGTGACAGACGGCGGCATAGAATTTGGGAGAGTAGACGGCGCTCAGCAGTGTGCTCGCGCAGTAGTTGCAGTAATCCAACTTGCAAATAGCGGAACCAATCTAGCATATCACGACAAACAAAAGAAAAGAGCATTCAGCTTCTGCGAACAAAACTTCGGAAATCATTTTCTCGGGACTCAAGGCTCGCCTACTTCTTCTTCTTCTTATTCACATTTCAAGCTTATTGCTTAGTGCATATTAGCTTATTGCGTGCTCTCAACTTAGTGTTCTAAATGCACTTCTACAGTTATCAATCGAGAGCTTTCGATGCCAATACCAATGGCTGAATTTGTATATTGTGTGGCAAGCACAATGATACTCTATACCCAACTAACTAGAGAAAATTTCCAACCCGAAAGATTCCCTCGATCGGACCGGGGAATCGAACCCGCCGCCTCCGGCTTGGTACTATCGTGCCTTTACTGACTATGCTATGAGGCCCCAGGCTCGCCTACGCAAACTATCAATCGGGTTGGAGGCAGTTTCCCCTATCCAGTGATATGTTAATTTGCGTTCGGTTGGCGAGGAAAAAAAATATCAAAGTTTTGTTTATATAAGTTGATAGTACCTTTTCAATTGTTGGACTACAATATATTGAATTGGTTCCGCTTTTTGGTAGATCGAAATTCTATCCGCCAGACTATACATATAGCGACTATAGTGCTTATCCCTTGCTGATCGTGGATCAGATGAATGCTCGGATTGCCAATTTATCAACACTCTATGCATATACTGTGTAAATCGCCGCTTTCACTTTCTTGTTCTACCGATTGGCGTATTGCAGTAAAACTTTTGCAGTTCAGAAGTGAGAACTACAGAAAATTCTCCAAGAAACAGCTCGCTAAAGAAAAATTAATCTTTTCTCGGGAAAACTGCGGCTAAATCGCATAGGAAAACGTTTTGGTATTCGTCCGGTGTTCTATGATGTTTTCACGATAAATTATTCATAACAATTTTGCACTCACAGGAAAAGGTTACATATACTACAATGCTTCATTTTTCGGAAAATGGTATACATTTGTGATTTCAACTGAGATACAAGTGGAAATTTGGTGATATTTTAAAGGAAAGTTATTACGATGCTTGTGATATCGGAGCAATTGTTGTATTAGGATGCAATTATTCAATAAAAGTACAGATTAACCGGTTTAAGGCAAGCATTTGGATACCCAAGTAACAATTTCGGTTTTATGAGGGTTCTGCAGATCATGATTTAGACTTGTAGAATGCTATAAAACCTCGATAAAACTTGCAATGTTACTTGGGTACTCACAAAATTCGATGGAAAATACAATTGTACTTCATTTAATCAACAGTCACTCACTTCAGAATAATCCTAGGTGGTTTTCACAGTGAATCCATAGTAGCAAATCATCTTTAATTTCAGAAATTTAGGAAATTTACTTTTATGTACGATGTAGCATTGACGGTGCCGTAAAATAAAATTAATATTTCGTATTAAAATCAATCTGGAAAATAAAAGATGGACATCAGTCTGATCGGAATAATCCTATAACTGCCAAATCAGGTATTTACAAACAGCTTAGCGTGTCCCCAGCTTTGTTTATTTTCATTTGATATGAAATTTTATACAAAAAAAAATTTCACAACGCTTCAATCTTCTCAAAATAGTTGATTTTTTTTTTGTATTTTATCCAGTTTTATGCACTAGGGAAGCATAGTGTGGATAGTAAGAGTGATGATTTAGAAAACCCCGGTGAGTTTTTCAGTGCACATTTAAAGCAACACATTCATACACTTCATGGATACATGAGTATAAGATGCAGGTTTAAATGGTTAACGTCAAATTCTTAATACAAAAAATCATTTCAATTTATTGGAGGACAGTTGGAGCACAGCGAGGGTGCCCGTAACAAAACTACAGTATAAAAAAAACAATAGAACCTACACAAACTAAACCCAACGATTCAGATGGTTAAAAGCAAAATAAGCCTATTCTTCTTGCATAAAGCAATAGTTGGCGGCATAAACTGTTCTACAGCTAAAATTGTTTGATAAAAGCTCCTATGGTGGAATATATGATAATATAGTAACGCATGGTAAACCAACAAACAGTATGTGGTAAACCTATTGAAGTAATACTACGATCATTTGACCAATACAACATTTTTATAACGGCCTATGTTGTCAACAATAAAATGTACAGTAGACTTTTTTATCAATTTTTTCAACGGGCCAACCCCCAAATGTGTGCTATTAGGTGAAAAAACCATTCTCTGAAAATTTCAGCTTATTCGGATGTAACACGAGCTGGCACTTTTGAATTAAAGTTTGCATGGGTTTTTTTTTAAATGTATGGAGAAATAACATCTCTTCACTCTTTCGTGCATAAAACTGGTTCACCAAACTCTTTTAAGCTCAGAATTTCAGCACATGTAGCTTGGCCTATAAGAAACAACTTTGGTGAAGACAGCATCATGATTCAAGTTAGTATTCTTGAATTTATATGGGCATTTTTTCGTAAATTGCAACAAAATATAGGCAGCTTATTCAACGTATCAACTAGATTACCACTAAAGAAATTAAAGTTTATATTTTCCACAGGCTAACATCCAGGCTTGTGTCATTAGGTGAGATAACCACCCAACAAACAATTGTAGCTGCAGACTAGCTTATACAGGCAAAAATTAGCTGTATAAGCCAACTTTTGGCTGTATAAGCTAATCTGCAGCTAATATTGTTAGTTGGGCACTCCTTGAATGTTTCAACTGTTTTTGACGTAGTACGGGCTGGTGCTTTTGGTTTAATATTTATATAGGGGATATGGCTGAAATTTTCATGTTCAAAATGCTCATATACATTCAAAAGCGAATATCTCAATAAAAATAACTGGATTCATGATGCAATCTACAGCAAAGTGGTTACTCATTAATTGAACTACAAGTTTTGAAAATCTGAATCAAATCGATGATAAGGTAACTTTTTTATGATCGATAGAGTGCAGGGGTGTCATTTTTTCATGTGTTTTATCCAAATTCTCCATGCAAAATTTAAACTAAAAGCGCCAGCTTGTGTTACATCCGAATGAACTAAAATTTTCAAAGAGTGGTTTTCTCAATAATGGCAAAAACTTAGGGGTTGGCCCGTGGAAAATTAAAACTTTTATTTTTGTGGGCCAGTCTACTGTATATGCCTACAATGTGCTAAGTGAATACGTCTATTAACTGACTCGAGCTAAAAGGAATAAACAAATATGTTGGAAATGTCATCATTGCAGTAAAAACATCTTAATTTTTTTTTACAAAATTGTTGATTATTTCGAAACATGGCGCAGCACCTATTTTACCTCTGTTTTTTTTTAATCTTATGTATTTTTATTATGTCTAGCCATCCAAATAATTTTCGCGATAGCAATCAAATTAATAAGGAGTAATAATTACAACTCTTGATGGAATTAAAATAGAAAGCTGCTTGAACGAGAATATTAAGATCCTATTAAAATTACACATTTATACAGAAAACAGATGCGTTTCGATTTAATAAATTTATTTTAAACACAATAATAACATTTTATTCTGTGGCTTCGAAAAGGTCATCACGGATAATAGTTTGTTCGTCCGATACTCGTTTCACATAAGTTCCTAATATTTGAAATCAATGTAAGAGATGTATTTGTTCACTTCAACGCAATCCATGATGCTTTTATCCACCGGAAAGCATATTTTGACGCACTAACAATTCATTCATTTAGCTTCAGATCCTGTAAACGCAGTCGTTCACTCTCATAGAATGCTTTCTTCTCTGACGGGGTTTTAAGTGTAGCTTTCCGAATTACTTTCGCTTTTTCGCAGTATTTCTGTGGATTGTAAGCAGGTACATTCATGTCATCCCAACATTCCTCATCGTCCAATAATGAATTTGTTTTTTCAGGCTCAGGCTCCTCATCGCTTGTTCTATCCCTATATGTTTTGAATGGATCCTTCGGCTGGCTGTTGTTATAAATAAGATCCGGAGATTTTGCGCCTTGGGAAACATTCGGCGAAGCAGTCGAGATGCAGTATTTATATGTTTCGAAGGATGCACGATCTTCACATTGCTGGGTATGAATTTTAAGCTCAGGTGCAGCTACACGATGTGATTCATTAAACGGACACGACACAAATTTTTGATGTGGATGATTTTTCCGACATTTGAATAAATGTTTTGACATGGCATGAGCCTGTATCCGATGGGCCTTTTCGTAAGGACACTGCAGCAATTCATTGTATCCAGGTGGAGTCGACATTGCTCAGATGCGACAATAATTTTCTTTCCTAACAACACCTTATTTTAACTAACTAAAACTATACCACGTTTAACTTTCCACAGAATTACGTCAACTGTACACGAAACCACGAGCTTATCTTTTGAGATGGAGCAATAATTCGAGATTTTTCTACCTCGCTTGTAGCAAATCGAATAATCATTTCATAATATTACTAGCGTTTGACAGCTCTTTCTTTTGGCTCTAGTACGACTTCTGCTACGTTATGCATACGTGCGCATGCGCAGTGGCGGAAACCCTGTCGCACCTGGTGTATGTAAAAATGAATACGTACTATAGTATTAGTTTAAATTTATTATTTTATTTTCAAACGTTTATCAGAAAATATTTACCGAACACTATTTTATAACAATTTTTTTCGATAAATATTATTTAATGAAAATAATTAACTTTAAATCTACTACAACGTCTAATAGGGTGTCAATGCATTTTTTAAATCGGCCCCATACAAATATTCATTTCCTCGGAAGAAGACCCTATGTAAAATTTGTGCTCAATCGGACATGATTTGGGGTGGCGCAAAATCGTCACCTTTGAAAATCTTCGAAGGTTCAGAATTCGAAAAATTTAGTTTGATGCCAAAAAATTGTTTTGTCGACTTTCTGATACTTAGTGAATTTTCGGAAGTCGACATTTTTTTATGCAAAATAACATAAAAATGCATGAAACGCCGAGATCTAATGTTAACTCGATTTGGCTTTAAACGCAGAATCAAGACACACCCACGCAAACAAATGTTTGCTCTATCAGATGCTGGTGTTAGATAGCTTAAATGTGTTGTGATTTTCAAGAAATTAACGTTTAAATCCATTGCGTACGTTTGGTTAGAAATGAAGTTTTTTTTCGACACCAAGAAAATATTCTGGGTTCTTCAATCAGGCGGGCAATATGCCCCATCTATCAACTAATATGCTCCCACAACAAAGAGACTGTATGCTCTATTCAAAACGTATAGTATAACGTATAGTCAAAGGTGTGGCATGCCCCAGAGCATTAATTTTAGATGTTTCATACAGCATGGATGGAGTAAACGCTTTCTTAAATAAGCTTACCAAAATAGCTTTATAAGATTTAATTGTTATTATTTATTTGTGACAATTGACAGCTGTGCAACTTGCACAACAGAGTTGTCCCATTAAATACTTGAACTGCCCATCAGTATTGTATTTATATTCACCCCTATTCTGTATTTCGTTTCGGACGAAATTCTCTTACAAAATTTTTTTTTTTCGTATGGGAATTTCGTTTGAAACGAAATACAGAATAGGGGTGATTAGGCCTGAATTCATGGAAATGCAAAGGGTCCGGGGTAGTTTTATACCTTCCTACGCTATCAGAAAAAAAAACCTTTTGTCAAAAATTAACTTTCTGGGACTTAATTTTATCGTGAAATAGCAATCAGAAAGCATTGACGAACACGTGCGCTGAAAATGAGTTGCTGCTTTTTGTTCCTTTTTGAATTATGATGTACAGAAGTGCATGGGAAGAGCGCTACGACTTTTGTCAAACAAAAGTACTATTCTGCCCCAGTGTGTGGTCTTTCTTAAAATACCATAAAAGCTGGATTTAGACGAGACAAGTCAATTGATCAACTCACTTGAATTCAACTGAATAGAATCGAACGTGTAAAAGCCGGCGCACAATGCATACGTTTTTGGGTTTTTTGACAGATAATGCATGGACTAACTGTCAAAAAACCGGAAAACGTATCCATTGTACGCCGGCCTTAAACCTTGTCGTTCAACTGACTCGAATTGAACCAACACTCAAAAAATTCCACACGTTTGATCGACGTGTTTAAACACTTGATTTTTTAAATGCAGAATCACATTTACTTTAAGTGTATTTCACCTTAGTTCAATGTGTTATACACGTTAATTTTTAGTGTTTCAAACTTTGAAAAGTTGAAACATTTTCACTATCTTTTCAAGTGTATTTCACATTGAATCACAATACTGTTCAAAACAGATGGATTTAAATGTTTTGCATTTCAATACGATGTGAATGTCTTGCTCAGAAAGGTAAACATCGAAAACAAGAGTTGTGACTTTATCCTATCAGCCAACCGTGGCACAGTGAGATCGAACGAAGACTCCGACTACAGCACATCCAACAACAGTCCATGATCGAAACCCAAATCAGACCCATTAAAAAGATATGTGAAAGCTCTGGCCTCTGAAATTTGTTTATATATTTGTCGATTCATTTTTAGAGTCGGTAAAGTAGAAGTCGATAAAGTAGAATATGGTTGAATATTGAACTATGATGTGCAAAGCTATTGATATCACCATATGAAGCACATAGAATCCAAGTGTGTCACAATTCAAATCCATAGTGTTCAGGCATGGTTCATAGCATAAAATTCACACATGAAATGGATGTGTTTCACAATAAGCGCAAAATTAAGTGTGAGACACATGATGATGACGTGTGCAATTTTTTGAGTGATGTAGTTGAGTATAGTCAATTTGTGAATTTTGTGAAAAGTGAATTTTTTGAGTGATATAGTTGAGTATAGTCAACTATAGTATCTATAGTTGAGAGTAAAGAGAAAATACTTCCGTACACGTCAGTCACCACGTTTATTCTGCCCATCCTATATTTCATACTTTGCAAAGCCTACTCATTTACATCTGTCGACTAGCACATCTTCTTTGGTTCCGTTGTTTTTTTTTTTAATTTAATAATTGAAATATTTATATATTTTTTAAATTAACCTAACGTTCTGAGACATTTCATGCAATGTAGCAAATATTGTATACAAATGCCCATTGTTGTAAACAACATTGTTTACAAGTTGCTCGGTTGCGTGAAATGAAATACAAGTTTACGGGAATTAATGTTTACATCACTATTAAAATTCAGAATTTTTATCAGTGTAGCTGTACGCAATCAGTAACTGAATTTGCATTTCTCGTTGACAATATACTACATTCAAATTTATTAACAAATAATAGCAAACTTACCGATCACCACTGGTGTTTGCATCAACATTTACCTGTAACGAAAATAGAAAACGTTGTAAGTTATTGTGCATGGTCTCAAGGTTACTAAAAACAAGCTACACGTGATTACACAAATGAAAATTCAGTTGATTGCTTCATTCAAACACAGATCCATGTACATGTCAACATGGTAGTGAAAAAGCGACGTCAGCTGTTGTTAACACGGAGCAGATATTTCACTGTTTTATTTACGTTCGCATTCTTTCCTAATTGAATTTCGCTCTTTTGTGCCATTCCTATACATTTGAAGCACATATTGTATCAATCATCAAGCAATATTACTGTCTGTTTCTCTGCAGCATAAAAAACAATTCCTAATGTAAAGGGTTCTCTCTGGATATCTTTGATCACACGCTCGTCACGTTTTTGTTGATTGAAAGGATGGATTAGATCTGGATTCGCATTGGAAAATGATGCGATCTTTTAAAGTACGACCGACGATCTTTCAAGCCCGGGTTAGAGAAGTTGTACAAATGAATTACGTCCCATAAACAGTTAACAATGTTTTCTAAACCGCATCTAGCGTACGTCATATATTTTCTATTTTTTACCTGACCGTTCGGCCCGAATTATATCAATAACTGTCCAGGATCGATCAACTCAGTAATGAGAAGAAGCTTGGGTGCGATCTTCTGCTCAGTAAACCTGCCTAACGTATTTAAAGCGCGGGCCAAATGTCGGTAGCATTGGTACTCAGTACGGAAAACAAGATCGATAGAAAACAAATCAAGGAAAAAAAAACCTTTTTTTTTTTCCTCTGTTTGGGACCTAACACTACTGCGACCAGTAAATTGATCTATTGTAGTATATCCCGTGTCCTTAGTTTAGTGCATGTCGTATTACTCCATCACTATTGAGAAATGATGAAGTATTCGATTTTTTTATAGTTGCCACTCTTGCATTTATCGCAAGGATCCGACTCTAATTGAAAGGTCCCGCTATTTATACCCTTCGGAGTGTTGAAACACCCTCCAAAGGCGCGCCTCTTTGTCAGTCAAAATCGGATTCCTTAGCAACAAAATTAAGGTATGACACCGATAATGACCATGCATCAGAACCCTAGTCTTAACCACTTCAAACTAGGGAACAACGATTAGAAGATTGGGAATCACATAGATGACGACAACTAACTCATTTTTTCCTTGTTTCAAGATCATCCTCGGTAGACAAAGCCGAGTCTTGTCACTATCAACAAGGCATAAAAAGTAACAAGGACTAAGATGTGTTCCTTGGATTACTGAAAAATCCTGTTCCCCTAGTTTGAAGTAGTCAGGACTAGGAATCGGTGGTAGATCTTACATCCCGTAACGTACCACGAAAAGGTGATATACCCACGTTACGGGGTAAAAAAAAAACCTTAATACAGTTAAAGCATAGTACACGGATCACACGCGACTGAAAAATATATAAACAATAAAACTAGCACACACCTAAAACACATCAAAATCTAATCGAGCGAATGCCAAACCTGGTTGTTCGTTCGCGATAGCGTCATCACACAAATCCATCCTTACAACCGACACTGGCCGATCCCGGGTAAGCATGCGGCTTAAGCGTCACTTTGGTAAAGTAGACCGCATGCCAGGTAAAGTTAGCCCGGATGAGACTGCCTCAGGGCCAGTCCAAGTGTAAATCTTCCTAAAAAGAAGAGATCGAGCCAGCTTGAATACCACCGAAATTGATCGGGTAGAATTGGGAAGCAGCATAATCTCTCACAACATCGAAATATTTCCGCAAAGCTCACGGTAAGAGAGCACACAAACCTAAAACGATGTTACGTGTGATAGAATCCCGGCGCAGTACGGAAAACAAGATCGATGAAAAACAAATAATCGAAGAAAAAACCAAAATGGATTAATTTAACAAAAAGGTTAATCATTACCCATAACAAACAATTATGCAAAGTTTCATGCAAATCGGAGAAGGTCGAGTTTTTCCGATTCTTCTTTTGGCGTGGAATTGCTCAAGGAGGGACTTTTCCCGTCATTTTGACATTAATCATATCGGGAATGCCAAATTTTTTATTTTAATATTATTCTAACAAATACACTGTGCATGCCCTTTTTTGTTGAATGGGAGTGGTTTATAAAATAATTTGTAGATCCATAAAAGCCAATGAATGGTTATACTTATA